AATTCTAGTATGATATTATAATTCCACTTCCTCAAAGGTTATCTTTTTAAAATAAGCTGGAACATATAATACCAGGTCAATGTTAATTGGATGTTACATTTTGAGGAGTAATACTTCCCTAAAGTTAAGTAAATTTCTCATAGAATAATGGCTATCTTAAGTTAGAATCAGAAAAAAAAATCACAGGAAATAGCAGTTTTGTAATCTTGGTTTTTAAATACTTTATGCTTTGAAAATTGTATTCTAATAAAAGTAGTAACTTTGCTTGAGGCTTATAAATTGAGAGAAGTGAAGATTAGGTGGAGATGAGGTAGTCACCAAGAAAAATGAGTTAAGTTTCTTTTGGTAGTTATGTTTTTGTTAATTATAAATTTATCTCAACATTTTTTTCCCTTGGGGTGCTAGGGATTGAACTCAGGGCCTCACTTGAACATTAAGTACTTCAGCCCAATCTCAAATATTTCAAAAAGAATGAATATTTAAGACATTTTGAGAACTATTCTAAATTTTGCATGTGTGTCAGTTCATTAAAACTTTTTCTTTTAAAAAGTCTCAAAACCTTTTGAATTCATTTTAATTTTGTCCTATCCCCAAGGTCTTCTGAGATGATGATGATGATGATGATTATTATTTTGTACTGGGGATGGAACCAAGCAAGGGGTGTTCTACCAATGACCTGTTTTATTCTGAGACAGGATCTTGCTAAATTGCCTAAGCTGACCTCAAATTTGTGATCCTCCTGCTTCAACTTCCAGAGTAACTGGGATGATAGGCATGAGCCACTGTGCCCAGTTTATATTAGAAATTTGATGAGAGTAGAGATTACCTTCACATCCTTCATAGGCTTAGCATAAGGCCCTGAAATCGTGCTTAGAAGAAAATTATTTAAAATTATTTTAGTTGTCAAAAGCTTAGAAAAATTTAAAGGTAAGGTAACACCCTATCTTAATATTTTGGAATTTTTCCTTACATCAGAACTTCCCGTGAATGAGGATTTTTGTTGTTGTTGTTAATGCATTCAGGGAATTGTAACAGATCTTTACTGACGAAGAGGGTACGTTTTGAAAAATGGGTTTTGATCAAATTGTTAATTGGGTTTTTGGTTAGTTTTTAATCAAACTGTTGTTTTCATCATGACTTGTTATTATATGCTTAGTATACATATTACAAAGGACTGAAATACCATTTAATAGTCAATATTAATGCTTTTTTAAACTTGTTTTTTTGTGTGTATATGGTGTTGGGGATTGAACCCAAAGCCTCGTGCAAGCACTCTACCAACTGAGCTATACCCCAAGCCCAATGCTTTTTAATTTGTATACAGCACTTTAGTATACAAAACATCCTCACATATATTTCATTTGGTTATTTGGTTCTAAGTATGTAGTCTGCGTAAAAAAGTTATTATATTACAGCACATTTTTGTTTCCTTTTAAAGGAAATATTTATTTTCAAATATTATATGCAGTTGTACTCAAACATAAATCTGTTAGGGAATGTGAAACAGCAATGGTTAAGATACACCAAGCGGCAGCAACTAACCCAGATGAAGAGGAGTCAGGTGAAGAATAGGGAGGAAGGTCAGTGGATTCATGAAGGTCCGACACTTGGAACACAATGCTTACAAAGGATAGCCTCAAAAAGATTCAGGTGTTTAGGTCACTCTCCCCTTCTCAAACAACAAATCATAAAAAGAAAAAAGATTAAACATTGCTGTGCAAGGAAAATTTCTGTGAATCTCTGGTTTTGAAGGATGAAAATAGGCAAACATACGGACAACTGAACTAAAGTGCTGGTTATAGTGGTGCACACCTGTAACTCCAGTAACTAGGGAGGATGAGTCAGGAGGACTGCAAGTTCAAGGCCAGCCTCAGCAATTTAGTGAGGTCCTAAGCAACTCAGTGAGACCCTGTTTCAAGATAAAAAAAAAAAAGTACAAAGGATGTAGCTCAGAAGTAAAGCACCCCTGGTTCAATCCCTGGGTACCAAAACAAATAAACAAACCAGAACAGGCATTAGGAATATAAATTAATATAGCTATTATGGGAAATATGATTCCTCAAGAAATTAAAAATAGAATTACTGTATGATCCCATTTCATTATATCAAAGAGATGTGCATTCCTATGCTCATTGCAGTTTTATTCACAATAGTCAAGGTATGAAATTAACAAATGTGTGAATTAACGTATTTTTAAAAAAATGTGGCTCTTCTTCCTCTGCCAGGCCATTCTGCTTCATTTCAGGCCCAGAATTATGGAGTCTGCTGCTCATGGACTGAATCTCTGAAAGTGTGAGCCCAAAATAAACTTTTCCTTCTCTATATTATTCTTTTCAGGTCTTTGGGTCACAATGATTAAAAAAAAAAAGCTAAAACAGAAACTGGTCTTGAGATGTGAGGTTGTCGTTCTCACTTACCTGCCCATGTAGTTCAAAAATGTTTTTGAGCTTTCTAGAGTTTATGGAAGGCATTTTCAAAAGCTTAGAACTGCAAGCTGGAAAAGTTTTAGAATGTTTTTAGTGGGTGATTTTGGTGGGTGCTCAAAAGACCAGGATTGTGTAAGAACTGTGGAGAATAAAGACTGGCTCATGAGGTTTCAGAGGAGGAGGGCTCTATTGGAAATTGGATTAGAGGCCATTTGTGCTACCTTCTGGTAAGACTTTGTCAATACTTTGCTTGTGTCCTGAGACTTTCTTTAAGGTTGTATTTAAAGGTGATGTACTAATTAATCTGGTGGAGGAGATTTTAAGACAGCACAGCATTCAGGCTGGAGAATGGATATTGCTGGTAGTTTATTTTTTTATTTTTAAATACATTTATTTTGTTTATTTTTATGTGGTGCTGAGGGTGGAACCCAGGATCTTGCACATGCTAGGCGAGTGCTCTACTGCTGAGCCAAAACCCCAGTCCCGGTAGTTTATTTTTTTAATATTTATTTTTTAGTTGTAGTTGGACACAATACCTTTATTTTATTTATTTATTTTTATGTGGTGCTGAGGATCCAACCCAGGGCCTCACATGTGCTAGGCGAGCGCTTTACCACTGAGCCACAACCCCATGCCTGCTGGTAACTTTTAACCAAGTTTACTGTAATAATCAGGAGCAGAAAGATCTGGAAAAAATGTGCAGTTTGGCCAGAGAAGTGTGAATAAAATTGGTGCTAAGGAAATAGTGGTTGTTAAAGATATTGCAGCATTAAAGAGATGCTAAGTACTTTACACAGAGACAATAGGAAAGATGGCTGGAAGCCATCCCAGGAATTGGCAGGAACATATTCATCGCAGGCTCAAGGGTATCAAAGTATAAATTCCTTTGAGAAGAGGCTATGAGGGCACCTTGCTTGCACAGGCAGGCCTAGAAAATTGTTTCACTGTGCTCAGCTGTGTAGGCACTGATGCTGCTGCAGCCATGTTCTCAGGATGCATAGTTACTGCTCAAGATGATGGCACACTGGAGTCAACCATGTGCTACTGGTTCTGTAGGAATGCAGGTTGCAGGAGTTAGGGGGTCATGGAGGCTTCCACAGAGATTTCCAAGAAAGGCCTGGAAAGCCACACATAGTGTAGCAGGGTCAGAATTCCTGTGGGCAGCCCCTGAGAAGGTGATGCATGAAGATATGAGAAAGAAGTCAAAATTTTTTTTTCTCTGGGAAAAAAGAAAATGTAATATATATGTACACACACACATACACAATGGAATATTATTCAGCCTTAAAAAGGAAATTGTGTCATTTATGTCAGCATAGACAAACTTGGAAGACATTATGCTAAGTGAAATAAGCCAGACACAGAAACACAAATACTTCATAGTTTAAAATCTAAAAAAGTAGAATCTGCAGAGGCAGAAACTAGAATGATGTTTGCCAGGGGAAAAAGGAATAGAGAGGTTTTAGTTAAAGGAAACAAAGTTTCATTTAGGCCAGAGGAATAAATTCTAGAGCTATACTGTGCAGCATAGTGACTATATTTAATAACATGCTAAGAGAGAACTTATCATTTCTCATTACACAAATAACTATGAGGCGATGGATGTGTTAGTTTGAGGTAATCACATCACAGCGCGTACCTACATCAAAACATCATACTATCCATCACAAATATATATAATTTTGGTCAATTACACTTCAAAAACAGTTTGAAAAAATTCTTAAAACAGACAATTCATAAACTCTTGAATGGATGACAATTTCTATTATAAATAAAAACGTAACCTGCAATGTTTGTATTGGGAAAGAAATCTGAGAAAATGTTGTGTGTGTTCCAGTGGGAACTGAAGGTTTAGGATTAAGGGATAGGTTTCCTCTTCTGTGTACCCTTCCAAAACGCTTGACTTTACAAATTAAGAGTCCAGGGAACTCTTGCCCGTTCTCCAGGTACGCTTCCTCCCTCCTTTCAACAAGTTCACTGTCAAAAACCTCCATTACTTCCAAGTGACGCCCCTGGAGAGAACAAGTCCCCGATCTTTCTAATCCGGCCCAGCTCGTCCACATCGCTCAGGTGTCCAGAGTCAGAGGGAGAGAGAGGGGAGGGGCCCTAACGCTAGTCCTGGCAAAAATTCTCCAGGTAGCGACCTCAGGTGTAAAGCTGCAGAGTACTGGTGGCACGGGGAGGCGCGGGGCGTCTTCCCATTATTATTACGTAGTCCCATCTCCTTCTGGGGAAAGCTTGGGTGAGAGCGGGGCCGCCCGCGCAGGGTGCTCCGGGACCAGCACGTCCTGCGATGCCGCAGCCTGCGCCGGTGTCCTGTGCGGCCGCTTCTTTGAGTCCTCTACTCGCTTTCTGAGTTGGCTGATTCGTCAATTTTTCGTGTCAGAGTTTAACATGAAAATTCGTATTCCATTATTTCGGAAGCCATTTCTACTCAGGAAATTGGAATCTGGAGCGACTTCATGTTCTTGCATTCTTTAAGATCCTGGCGTCCATAGTCCTCACCCTCGGCGATCCGGGACCTTGCGTCGAAAGCGCCGACGCGGATGCTCAGGCCGCCATTCCCAGCGCGCAGTCGCGGCGGCCCGGGCCCCCACCCCCGCCGGGAGTCCGACGTGGAAGTTGCTGGCTGACCTGGCTTGAGAGGAGACCGCCTTGGAGCCGCGGCTGGAGGCTAAAGCTAGCGGAGGTGGCGGCGCCGAGGCTGGAATAGCAGTCGTTGCCGAGTCGAGGCCTTCCTCCGAGGACCGGCGAGGGCCGACTGGCGGGTCATCATGGGTGAGCAGTTGGAGGAGTCTGGGTGCGCTCGAGGGGCTGCGGCTCAGGGCTGGGGGCGGGAGGGGGAAAGGGGCCGCGGTGCGAAGCCCAGAGTGGCCAGCTTCTCCCGGGCGGTCGTGCGGGACTCAGCTTGGCTCTTCACCTGCGGGCGGACCCCTCTCCGCGCTTCTCCGCTGCCCTGGCTGCTTCTCCTTCGTACCTGCGGCGTCGGGGGCGGCCGGGCGGCGAGTCCTTTTCGGTGACCCCGACTTTTCCCCCAGCCTCCTATACCCACGTCGGCTCGCCGGGCGCAGTTGGGCTTGCGAAGCGCAGCGACGTGTCAGTTGCGGGTTCACTGACAACGTTGAAACGGGCTCCGTCCCCGCAGTGCAAGCCGAATTCTCTCCCCTGCCCAGTCGGGACTGCGTCACTTGGAGGAGTCCGATGGGAGTGTTGCTTTAAAAAAAAAACAAAAAACACATTTATTTTATTTATTTATTTTTATGTGGTGTTGAGGATCGAACCCAGTGCCTCATCCGTGCCTCTGAGCCACAAGCCCAGCCCGGGAGTGTCGCCTTATAGCCACCTTGGCATCTGTGTGATTGTCTGCTGTCGCTTTTCGTGTAAAATTAAGTCGGGTAAATTGAAAGCGGGGAGGGTGTTACTAGTCCAGTGAATGAAAACTTGAATTCCAGTTCTAGGGACTGTTCCTTCTGCCCGCTAGAGCCCAAATGGAGGTGTGCATTCGTGAACTTGTTTACCACTTTCCAAATGAAGATGCTTGTCCCTTGGTTTATATCCCTCGTCGGTTTTCCGGGAGTAAACTTCCTGCTCCAGAGCCTCACAGCCCCTAACCTGTCTTGTGTAACCCTTCAGTTTTGTTCTTCCGCATCTTTCCTACCTGTAAATGGCAGAGAGGACTTTGTCAAGTCACACCCAGATTCTTTTGACTTTTCCAAGATTCTCTATGTAGCCCGTGGTGTGTTCGATTTTCCAAACTTGGCAACTCTTAATTTTCCCATCTCCTTTCCGTATAGCAAAGTGTGGCAACCCTTTTGTTGTCAACTATTATTATTACTAACTTAAAAAAAATTTTCTCTAGTGGCTTTCAGAAATAGTTCTTGTGATTTCTGGTTTGTGTGTCAGTTTCTTTTTTTAAGCATCTTTTATGCCTTTATTTTATTTATTTACTTTTTATTTTTATGTGGTGCTGAGGATCGAACCCAGTGCCTCACACGTCCTGGCAAGTGTTCCACCACTGAGCCACAACCCTAGCCCTGTGTGTCAGTTTCTTCTGCCTGTTATATTGTTAATTGGAGAAGTCTCAGTGATTAAAGATCATTGTGATTTTGCTGCTGTACAATAATTGCTTTTCATGTGTGAAAAACCACTGCCCTTCTGACTTGGTTTTTAGGGGTAGTAAGGAAACCATGTCAAGGTATCTGTATTCTGAACCCCATGTCAGCAGTGACTATATTTCTAATTATTTAGTATATCTTTTGCCTGCCTGACACAATATTTAGGACTACTAATATATCACTAATTACTTGTGTGATGTTGAATAATCCATTTCATTAGAAGCAAAAATATCTACCAGGAAAATATATTATTATTTAATTTGATATGTAGCTTTCAAAGGACAAGATTAAATGTATTGTGCATCTGGTTTACACAATATTGAATATGATTTTGCTTTTATTATCTTTTTAGGTGGCTTTTTCTCAAGTATTTTTTCCAGTCTCTTTGGAACCCGGGAAATGAGGATTTTAATTTTGGGATTAGATGGTGCAGGAAAAACCACAATTCTGTACAGATTACAAGTTGGAGAAGTTGTTACTACTATTCCTAGTAAGTGTTGGTATAATAAACTAATTGTAGGAGCTTTCTGGTTTATATCTAACTTTCTGAATAAGTGATTTGTAAAATAAATTGATAAGGTTTGTAAACTTCTAATATGAATATAATAACACTTTTTTCTTTCTCCTTTTTTTTTTTTTTTTTCGTTACTAAGGATTGGACCCAGCAGTGATTTCCCACTAAGCTACATCCCCAGCCCTATTTTTATTTTTTGTTTTGAGACAGGATCTACCTAAGTTACTTAGGGCCTGCTGGGTTGTTGAAGTTGGCTTTGAACATGTGATCCTCCTGTCTCAGCATCCGGAGTCACTGGGATGATAGGTGTACTCTACTGCACCTGGTCTGATAGTTAAACTGAGAGGCAATTTGATATAATTTAAGGCCCCCTGTAAGGGTGCAAAGCAAGTTTGCTGTTTAGAGCTAAAGTTGATTTAAGTCACTAAATCTTACTGAGGGCCAGTATCTTTACTGATAAAACGAAAAATAATAAATATCTACTGGCCTTGAGGGGGGGGGGAAATAAATGAAGTGTACAAAAATACTTTAAAAATACTTTGTAGGGGTTGAGGCTATAACTCAATTGTAGTAGAGCATTGGCCCTGGGTTCAATCACAGCACTAAGAGGCAGGAGAAACAGAACAAAAATTCTTTGTAAATGTGTGTAAAGAATTATATGGCTGTTAAGTGATATTATCATATGCAAAGGGCCTTTTTTTTTTTTTTGCCTGAATTTGTTTGTATTTTAACTAGTTAGTTTGTCTTTAGTAATTCTATTGGTTCCTTTTTGTTGTGGTGGTGGTACTTAGGTCTGAACCTAGTGACTTGGGCATGCTGTGCAAGTTCTGTACCTCTGAACTACATGCCCAGCCTTTATTTATTTTATTTTGAGGCAGTGCCTTACTAAGTTGCCAGGCAAGTGTTAAGTAGCTGGGATTGCACTTGGCAGGGTTCTGTGGATTACTCTTAAAGATCTGAGTTGTAGAGACTGAGTGTCAAAATACACTGGTACTTAAAAATAACAAAAGAAACATTTGTTGCTGTCTTAGACAAATATCCAGGAACAATCCTGTTTAACTATATATGAATACTGTTATTTATACTTTTTCATTTGTTGATCTGAATTTACTTAAGATTAATACATTTACACTAAATTGAAGAGTTCAGAGTTTGCTCAAGATTATTTAAATTATTGCCTGTATAGTTATTGTTACTGAGGTTCTAGATATTAAAAGAAAAGTCTAGCTTTTATGAAAAGAACTTTTTGAACTTTGTAGCATCTCTTATTTTCTTTTTGCTACATTCAGTACATTTCAGTTCCCTTGGTTCTTCTTAAAATTTCTAATCTCTACTGTGACAACTCTTGGTGGCCCATGCAGTGCATAGTGGATCCCATTTCAGTGAGAGCTCTTTATACTACATTCTTGTCCTTTGCACATAAATAGTGCTCTTAATCATGGTGAATGAGGGTAATCACTGTGTAATTGCATAATTCTAAGGAGGACATCATGAACTTGGCTTTTTAGTTTTCCACTTAGGTTTCTTATACTATAGTTTTAATCATCCAGTTACAACAGTTGTTTTTTGCTTTGATATTTTTAATCTTGTAAAATGTAAGTACTCTTTGTATATATCAGTCCTAAGTTTTTTCAGCATCCTTTTCACTCCTTAGATTCCTTTCAGTGACAGTGGTAGTACCTTGCCTTAGCTGTGTGGTGCCCCTTCAACCATTCAGCTATGACTTATTTTGAGACATGTTCTCATTAAGTTGCTTAGGTCCTCACTAAGTTGTTTAGGTCCTCACTTGCAATCCTTCTGCCTTAGTCTGCCAAATTGCTGGGATTTCAGGCATGTGCTTACTGCATCTGGTCCATTGTTGGTTTTGATCCCTATTTATTTACTACCTACCAACAAAAATTCCAGTTTTTGTAAATATAACTACATTCTAACTACAAGTTTCTGAACACTTTTATTTGCTAGTACTGAGGGAATTTAATAGGATTTCCATTGATCTGGGAATTAGATATTTCAGATCATTCTTATGTAATCTGAAGGTAGTGCTAATCTTGTTAATTAGTGAGTTTGTGTGTGTGTATGTGTGTATCATAGAATATTATCTTAAATGAAATAATAATGTCCCAGCTGATAATGTGATTGAACAGTTACTGTTAATTGCTAAAACTCAATTGGATTGGATACTTGAAAGTAGAATGTATTAGTCTACACATACTTACCGATTTGATTTCTCTTCCAGCTATTGGATTTAATGTAGAGACGGTGACATACAAAAACCTTAAATTCCAAGTTTGGGATTTAGGAGGACAGACAAGTATCAGGTATAGTTTAAATACCAGGTTATTTTGTAGTATTTAACTTTTTTTTTTTTTTTTGGTTAACTGTTAACAGCAATAAACCAAAGCATATCTTCTATTGTAAACTGGATGGGAGTTACTTAAGTTTAAAATATGGTAAAATTTGAAACTGCCTATTCCCTCAGAGCATTCATTGAATTAAAATCTAAAGATAACCACTTCAGATCTGATTTTTTTCAGATATCACTTAAATGAAAATCTGTTCATGAAAATCTCAAGACCTAATTACTAAAGTAGTTTTTTAACTATCCCTCCATTTAGCTCTCATCAGCCCCTTCCTTTGTGTGACAGAGAATTCATAAAAATACCCCGTAGACATACCATGTAGAGGTAATATAAACATAGATGTCTCAGGAAATTCAGGACTTGTATGAATATTTGGTAACTTAATGGTAGCTTCCTACGTTGCCATTGTAAGAGATTAGAAATACAGTCCCTATACATCTGCCTTCCTTTAACTGTTTCATTTCTTAAATCACTTTTGAGGTTATTTCTGATTTTAGCCATTTCTACTTCTTGGTGTCTACAGTGATTAATTTAATGACTTGGATAAAACCATATTAAAATAAGAACATTCCTTTTGAAGGATTCCTAGTTAAAGAGTATAAGCTACATTGGCCAGATTTTTGTACAACTTTTCTATCAGAAAATTTGATGATTTTATAGATGATAAGAATCTGTCTCAGCCTAAAAAATTTGAATTATTTTTAAATTCCTTGGTCCTTTGATTGAAGATTTACCACCATTCTTTCAACTTCATGAAATCCTGGGGACATGAGAGATAACTGTCAGAAATAGTGAAATCATTACAGCATTGTTTCTAACATGAGTGGGGCAGGATTGGCATGCAGTCTTCCCCACCCACTCATTATTGCCCTGAGTCCTAGCAAGTTAATTGGTATGTCAGTTTCTTCTTTCAAGTAATAATTATATATTCTCCCCCTTTGAATTTTCTTTAGGCCATACTGGAGATGTTATTATTCAAACACCGATGCAGTCATTTATGTAGTAGACAGTTGTGACCGAGACCGAATTGGCATTTCTAAATCAGAGTTAGTTGCCATGTTGGAGGTAAGTAAACTAATACTTTAAGATGAAGGGAAATCATTTACGTTTGCTTGCTACTTCCAGAGTATATTATCACATGTAGGAATAATTAAAAAGAATGCAGTGACTTTTTCCTTCCATGTTTCAATGTTTTCTCTTATTCACAATACTTCCTGTTCCAGAAATACAGTTGGAAATGGAGGAAAAAAGAAATCTAACCCTAACCCTGAAACTTCCTATAAGGTAGATCCTTTGATTTCCAGAAGTTCAGAGGTCTCTTAAGGCAACTATTAAAACTATCTTAAGTCACTCCTATGATGTATCCCACCATCACTTTTTCTTTCTTCCTTTTTTTTTTTTTTTTTTTTTTTGTGGTTTTAGGGATCAGACTTAGGGTCTTATGCATGCAAGGCAAGCCCTCTACCACTGAGCTAAACTCTAGCCCCTATGATGTGACATTTAAAAAATGTCTTATTTTTAGCTGTTTTAGAAGCAGAAATATAATTTAAAAACTAAGTAAAGAAACAATAAATGGAATAAAGAATAAAGTAGGGTAAATAGTGAGAAAATAACTGAAACTCCTCTGTGTGGGGAGAGACTTGTCAAAAACGTGTATTTCTAGGTTGCTGGCTGTACTGGGGATTGAACCTGAGGACTTTACCACTGAGCTACATCCGCAGCATTTTTTATTTTTATTTAGAGACAGAGTCTAAGTTGCTGAAGCTGACTTCAAACTTGTCATCCTCCTGCCTCAGCCTCCTGAATAGCTGGGATCATAAGCATGTACCTTTCTACTGGGTCACATTGATCTTTGTTTTTTGAGCATACTAAGTTGTATACTTGGGCCTTTTATACCTGTGAGCCTTCTGCTTAGAATTCTCTCCCCCCAAATTTTTACATTGCTACCTTCTGGCCCTTTTTTTGTCTGACACACTCTTCCTGAAAGAGTAGTCTCAGTTACTTTCTAAACCCTTACCCTACTGTATTCCTTATACCACTTACTGTTTCTCTATTTAGATATTTGTTGTTATTGTGTTTTTTGCAATACTGGGGGTTAGTCCCAGGGGTACCCTACTACTGAGCTATATCCCTAGTCCTTTTTATTTATTTTGAGATGGTCTTACTAGGTTGCTGAGGCTAGCCTTGAACTTTGAATATTCCTGCCTCAGCCTCCTGAGTCACTGGAATTACAGGATGTGCCAGTGCACCAGGCTCTTAGTTTTTAAATGTGTTTATTTATTTATGTATGTTTCCCCCTCAAAATATAAGTTCCTTGACTTTATCTTGATGTGTGGAAGAACTCAGTACATTTTATTCATTGAGCTTAAGATGATATATTGGCTGACATTCAGAGGATGCATTAAGTAATTTTTAAAAATTAAAATAGCAAGATATACTATGACTAATTTAATAATGAAATTGCATTTTCTCTAGAAGATCAGATAGTTAAATTTCCTTTTCACACCAAAAATGTTTCTGATTTACCCAGTCATTGAATGCTTAAATATAAGTTCTCGACCACTTGATACCTAAGGAAAACCATTCTCAGAAGAGAGGACACTAGATTCCTGATTTCTTGGACTACTGACTTTGTAATGGTTTCCAAATTATAAATTTCAAACTTAGTAGTTTTAAACTTATGCTTAATTTTTTACATTATAGCATCATATTTATTATAAGATCTTCGTAGATAAATTCAAATATAAGGAACTATTTGTCTTGTATATAATGGAGTTTTAAAGTAACAGCCATAAGCTGTTAATTAGATTTAATTGTATAAACACAAAGAACTGCCCCCCTGCCCCCCCCAAAAAAAAAAACAGATATACCAAATGTAATTAAGAGTAAAAACGGGAAATTAGAACTTAGAACTTACTAAACACCAGTGACTTAAGAATTACTTTTTATTTTTTGTACTGGGTATTGAATCAGGGACGCTTAACCACTGAGCCACATCTCCAGCCCTTTCCATAAAATATTTAGACGCAGGGTTGTTTAGAGTCTTGCTAAGTTATTGAGGCTAGCTTTGAACTAGATTCAAAGATTCTGCCTCAGTCTCCTGAGCCACTGGGATTACAGCCACTGCACCTGGCTAGAATTACTGTTCTTAATCATATCTAGACCTTTTGCGAATTAGTAGAAAAATGAGAAAAAGGCAGTATACAGAAGAGAAACACATTGCTAATAACATTTGCATTTCTAATGGCCTAATAACAAACATTCAGTTAGAACTATGTTTGGAAAAATAATTTTCTGGTATACTAAGGTTACATTGAAAATTTAGATTTGTTGGTGGAGTAAAAAATGTTACCACCTTTCTAGAAAGCCATTTTATATATATATAATTTTTTTTTCACTTTATCAAATCCTCAACATAAAGTTTTAGAGAACTGTTAAGAGAACAGATTCAAAGATTTCTGTACAAACACCTTGTTACCTGGATTTTTCTAATTGTCAAGTGAAAGAATATAGAGTCCAGTGCTATAAAATTGTTACATGATTTATGGTACATGTACCCATAGTGTAAAGTATATTTAGTCACTAATTTATTTTTTGAAAAATTTTTATGGTTTGGAGAAAGATTCATAATGTTTATTTTTTTAAAGCAGGGTATAGAATTATATGTAATCTTAAATGTGAAAATGTATTTAAACTAAGTAAACTAAATATCTATAGAACCACAGTACTGGTAGAAAATATTCCAAATGTTAACAATGGTGATTGGGAGGTAGGATTATGGATGAAGCATCTTTGTATTTTTCTGTACTTTGAAATAATTTATAATAAACATTATATGTACTTTTAAAGTAATGTAGTTTTGGTATTTTTTCCGTAAACTCAAGGGAGCAAATTGATTAGAGGAAATTAAATATCTTCCATTTTATTTAGGAAGAAGAGCTGAGAAAAGCCATTTTAGTGGTGTTTGCAAATAAACAAGACATGGAGCAGGCTATGACTCCCTCAGAGATGGCAAACTCACTTGGATTACCTGCCTTGAAGGACCGAAAATGGCAGATATTCAAAACATCAGCAACCAAAGGCACTGGCCTTGATGAGGCAATGGAGTGGCAAGTATTGTATTTCTAGAAGCCATCTCAGCAGCTTATCACACAGGTTCTCCCAGCCTTTTCTCTCACTGGTCTTCATGTACATCTGCTTTTATTTCAGCTATATCTACCTGGTTATAGTTATTTAAATAAATCCAGCTCTCTGCCATTCTCAAAAATTTTTCCTGATTTATCTCCATTCCCATACCTTTCCACATGTTGCTAGGTGACCTTGTTAGAAATCAGTGACATACTACTTGTTACACTGACTTGTAATTGTTTGATTTGTGCATTTGTTCATTGGATAATCAGCTCCTTGAGGAATGAGACTAGTTTTCACCTCTGAATCATCCACGTGTAGCCTGACAGTAGTAGCAGCCTGGAAAATAGAAGTTTGGTCTTTTTTGATTATTTGTGCAAATCACAAAGTCAAAGCTTATAATAACCATCATGGAAATTGAGTCCATAACTTCCTCCTAATTTGTGTTAGCATTCATCATTTTATGTGCTTTGGAATCTGCCTCCATTATAAAATTTATATTATAAATGTGCATGCTTTATACCTGAAAATTAATTTCATGGAACTTCATTTTCTCTTTACAGGTTAGTTGAAACATTAAAAAGCAGACAGTAATTCAATCACTTCAGCTCCTCTGAAATGAAGGCTACATCACATTCTCTTTGGAAACAGGCAGGTGTGCTTCATATCACTAAATGTTGAAACCACACGATTGTTGGCATATTACAGAACTGACTACAAAGTTCATAATAAACACAAAAAATGAAGTATTTGGTTAGAGGGGTAACTTGATGAATCATCTGGGTATTCTGTGTAATGTAAAAACATTCTTTCCTTGCTTTCTTGTGTTAAGGTATATATTCTATTTGTATGGAATTCTTATTCAAATACAGTTCTATTAAAGAATGTACTCTTCTTGGGGGGAAGCCCGCCTATTTTTGAATTAGTGGTTGCATCTTGTTTGTGTCACTAACACATATATTAACTCAAGATTTTTTTCTTCCTTAAAATGAATTGAGTCTTTCCAAAGATTAGACTCCATAGAGTAGGCTAGAAGCACAGTATGTATAATTTTTATTTGCTTAGCTGACCACTTATATTAAACTGTTTCACTTAAAAGTTTTTGATTATAGGCATGAATATTTTGTTGACTAACTTCATTGACTATCTATAATTGTAACTTTATAGTACTTTATTAAGAGCTTTATAATACTGATCTAATCGGTTTATAAGGAAACCCTGTGAGGTAGATGGGACAGACTGTAATGTAACTTCATGAATGTGTACCTACAGTGCTGATACATTGGCTTGCCCGAGGCCACATACTAGTGAGGAGGAATAGGGCTCAAAGAAGTTTTTCTGGGTCAGAAGTTTGTTTCATAAATTGTGCTATATATTCCTAAAAAATGAACATTGACAACACAGATAACCTAACTCTTAAGATTATGATAATTAGTTGCAGAACATTTAAAATAATGTCGTAACTTTGTCTATACTTGTAAAACTGATCAGTGACAGTAAAAACAATCATAAATGGGCATATTTGATGGAATTTATAGCACAATAAAGAAAAAAATTCACATTAAAGGAAATTTTAAAAATTTATTTTAAAGCAGCATTATAAAAGATGTCTTTAGTATCTTTCATTATCTATCTACCTGTAAATGGAGTGTAAATTGGTTAAAAGTAAAAATCTTATTGGTTCTAAAGGAAGAAATTACAGTCTTGGTTTTACAAATTAGGTTTACTGCTGAGCTGTGGGTGTTTTAAAAAGCCTGTTCAAAGCAACTTTTCAAACTACTCAGTCCATAACAGGATAAACTAGTGTGATCAGTGGTAGATATAGCTCTTTCATAGCAGTTATTAAAATTTGGGGAGAGTTTTTTTCACTCAAGTTAGACAACCAGCATTTTAAAAATTAGTGCTGGTATAAAGAACTGAAACTGGGTGGCACATGCCTGTAATTCCAGCTACTCAGGAGGTTGAGTTAAGAGGATGTCAAGTTTGAGGCCAGCCTGGTCAACTTATCAAGATCCTGTCTCAAATAAAAGGGCTGGGGGACATAGCCCAGGGGTAGAGTACTGTGTAGCATGCACAAAGCCCTGGGTTTTATCTCCAGAACTGTCAAAACAAAAACTATATGCCATTGTGCCCCCAAGTCTCATAAATACTAGTGGTTCATTTCATGGTTCTCATCCTCTTTCCTCTGGTTTCTTTCCCTCAAATTTATAGGCATTCTCTCTTTTCACCTACAGGATTCTTTTTTTTTTTTTTTTTTCTTTCCTCTGGTCTCTTTTGAATTCCTTTTTGGAGACTATTTTCCTCCAGGCACAAGTGTTTCTAATGTAACTATTAACTCACTTTGATGGACAAGACTTGTCTTTTTCATATTTATATCCCTCCTATCCAGTATGATACCTGGCACTTTATGGCCCATCAGAATCTAACCATAGTTGAAATGGTGGGATACAAATCTAGGAGAATTGCACTTCTGCAGATCAGACTTGGGTTCTCTTCTGGTCAATGGCACATGATTATGATTACTTATAAACCTGAGGTTCTAGGCTTATACTCAAGGGCCTAAGTACTCCCCAGCAGTTCAGGAACAGTGTGAAAAAATAATAGGAGAGGGGAATAATGGCCTGCCAAATTGAATTCTGAGGCATGAGTACTGTCCCAGTACCTGGATGATTCTGATTCTTCTGGTTTATAATAAAGAATAGGATGAGATAAAAGAGGGCACACCAATCGGGATTAAGATCCTTGTCTAACATGGAATAACTGCATAGATAATGCTACTAGTGTTCAAATATTGATATTTCAAAAATAAATCCAAATACTGTTTTTTTGTGAGATGCCTGGTCATGGCAAAAGCATCACACTTGAAATCAGAACAGAAGCTCTAGGTCCAAATGGCTACCCTTCAGTTTTATTTCTGTAAAATGAGACTTGGACAGAAGAGACCAAAAGTTCCTTCATCTCTACCATTATATTTTATATTTCTGGTTGGTAGTTGTGCTGTGTTGTGATCTCACTAAAGAAAATGAGAAATCAAGTAGTGGAATTACTTCTGTTATCTTGAATACCTGACATGCACTTTAAACTGGAAATATAAGTTCTGTGAGAGCAGGGACCATATCTAATTTACTGTTAGTATTCTTTGCATCTGTGTGGTGCATCTGGCATATAGTAGCACTCAGTAAATATTTATTTTAAAAAGATGCGTTCAATATCTGTGATACATGTGTTCTTTTTGATGTTTATTATTTTTATTTATTTTGATGCCGAAGACTGAACACAGGGGTAATTAACAACTCAGCCACATTCCCAGCCCTTTTTAAAATCTTTTATTTAGAGGTGGTCTCACTGAGTTGCTTGGGGCCTAAGTTACTGAGGCTGGCTTTAAACTTGTGATCCTCCTGCCTCAGCCTCCTAAACTGCTGGGATTATAGGCATGCACCACCACACCCAGCTAGTATTTTGATTTTTGAGTTTTAAAATTTTTATGAAAGCAAATACAAGGACTTTAAGTCAAATAGAAATAATTAATTAGATCTGACTTCCAAGATGTCCAGTGCTTATCATTTTGAAACATTGCAAACCCTTTAGAAGGTGAGAACACCTGTTTGAAACACACACTTCACCAAAACATAGATGAGTGAATGTTCAAACAGTTGATTCTGAGGCCACATATTGTATTATAATTCCATAATTATAAAGTACAAAGCGCTGGACTTGAAGTTGTAATCATGATTCTACCACCTGTCATGTTTGATTTTAGGAATCCCTCAGGGGTACTCTACTCTGAGAATTAAAATATATGCCAAGTGCCTGGCACACAGGATAAATTCTTCTTTCCCTTTGTCTTTAGATACATGGGGCACTAAAGAATTTGTTTTCATATCAAATGAATAGCAAGGCCAAAGATGTCATGTGGTTCAACAACAATTAGTTTGGCTTCCGCTAAGTGTGGCTGGCTTTTTAGTTGTAAATATTAAACCTTAAAACAATTACTAGGTTTCAAAGAAACCACTTAATTCTTTTGTTATTAGTTTAATAGTTTTGGCCACATTGAAATGTTTTTATTATAAAATTTAATATTTTTATAATTATTAATAATAAAATAATGTAGTTGCAAGTGTACTCATCTTCAGGTTTGTAATGAAATGTATGAAAACTTAACCTAACACCAAATATAAGACAGAACATTTTAAGCCCCCTGCCACCATACATCATGTGCTTCAAATCCTGTGTTTTCTCATAAGTACCCTATGCTGAAATTTTTGAAATCATTCCCATTTTTTTCTACACACACACACACACACACATATTGTCCAGACCTGCAAGTTTTCCTGAGTTTATTAGATATTCAACTCTATTTTTCTATGCTTACCCCCAATTGAACACTTTCTAAAATTCATCTATACTGATAAAATTAACTGGTTTTTAGTTTTTTGAAATTTCCTTTCTCTTGTGGAGGTACAGTTGAATCGTTTCTCGGTCATATCTTCTTCAGATCCATGGCTCTAAGTCTGTCTTAGGTGTTGAACTGCTGCTGCTAGATTGGGAGTGTACTCTTCAGGTTTGTAAGATAGTGCTAAATTATTTTCCAAAATGGCTTATGAATTCCAGATGCTCCACTGTCCTTGTCACTTGATGTTGTCAGCCTTGTCAGTCTGAAGAATTCAAAAATAGAATGTCATTCTTGTGCATTTTCTGGCTAGGTGTGGTGGTACATGCCTATAATCCCACCAACTCAGTCTGAGGCAGGAGGATTGTAGGTTTGTGGCCAGCCTCAGCAATTACAGTGAGAACCGGTCTTAAAAAAATGACAAGGGCTGGGGTAGCTCAGTGGTAGAGCACCCTTGAATTCAATCCCTAGTTCCCTAGTTTAAAAAAAAAAAAGACACCCTCCCTCCACAAGTCCTGATATTAATCCTTGAACTTCTGGTGTGGAGATAAGGATTCTAGGGACACATATTAACAAGGGGTGGTACTTGGACATCTCAAGGCATCAACTATTAACTAACATATATTTAAATATTGAAGAACCGATACAGTCATATCAACTAATTGTCAAAGGATTATCTTTGATTCATAGGTATCATTGTCTAGTGTGGACACTACTAATCCTTTGACAGTAGAATATGGTATATGCCATATTCTACCTTGTGTTTTTTTCATTTTCTTAATTTTTAATGAAGTAATAAGACTTACCATACATTTCTTCTATAGATGGCACTTCATGTCTTTTTGGTTTCTGTTGGGTAAGACCTTTATCATCCTTTTCTAAGAGCATCATGGCTATCGTGACTTTCAAATAAATTTTAGAATCAGATTAATTAGATTAACATGAAGAACTCTTGGGTTTTTGATCCAGTGTGCATTTAATCAGTGGGACTGACTTGGAAAAAACTAGCATTTTATAATAGAGCTTCCTATCCATGAACATGGCTATATTTCTCTACTTGTGCAGATCTTTCTTAATGCCTTTTGATAAAGCTTTATATATTCTCCATAAATATTTTGTTTCATTTATTCCTGCTACATTTTTTTTCTTGCTATTTAAACTTATTAAAAAAAAAACAACTCTTTTAAACTCTATCATGTAGTATCACATGCTTTTAGACAATGAAGATAACAGTAACAGTTTAAACATTTTAATTAAAAATGACCATGGTTACATTAAACTATGTATTTACACATTCTGTGTCAAAGTTTAACTTAAGTAATAAAATCTGTTGTGATTTCAGCCCAGCAAAATCCACCAGAAAGTTCATGTGTTGAGGTGAACTAAGACTATGAATTATGCTCCAGTATCAGGACAGGGAGCCTTCACTCCACTATTGCTAAATCTTTCAGGCTGTGGCTTTTTTGCCTCTTGGCTTTATAGCCTGGACGCAGGAATTCTATCTTTCTCTTCTTTGCTTCACTTTTATTTTT